GACCATGGCAAACGAATTAAGGACTATGATTTAAGGGCATGCTCGCATGCTTCCCTTAATTGGGAAGATGCCGCTGTCCAGCTGGTTGATGTCCTCGTGAAAATAAAGGCTGACATCACCGCCGTCSAAGAAATGCGAAGGACGGGACAGGGACAGAGACGAGTAGGTCCTTGTGGCATTTACTAAAGTGGCCATATAAAGGAGCGCAAGTTTGGTGTGGGGTTTGTGGTGGGAGAGAGTCTCCGTCGCCGAGTAATATCATTCACTGGTGAATTAACGTCTAGCCACAATCCGCATTAAAGCGAGGTTCTTSAACATATCGCTGATTTGCGCCCACGCCTCGACGGAAGAGAAGGACGATGTGACCAAAGATGCATTTTATGAGTGCTTGAAACGCACTTATGAGAGCTGCCCCGCCACGATGTCAAAATCGTGCTTGGCGACTTTAACGTCAGGGTGGGCAAAGAAGGTATCTTTGGCACTACGGTCGGTAAATTCAGCCTCCACGAGGAAACATTCCCAAATGGGTTGAGGCTGATCGACTTCGCCGGGGCCCAAAATATGGTTATCTGTAGTACTAGATTCCAGCATAAGAAGATACATCAAGCTACCCGGCTGTCTCCGGATCGAAAAACCACCAACCAGATCGATCATGTTGTGATAGACGGAAGACACGTCTCCAGTGTTTTAGATGTGCGTGCGCTCCCAGGTCCTAACATCGACTCGGAACCACAAAGCGGCGGGGCCGATGGATTGCCGGCCGGCATGCCCAACGATTGGATTTTAAGTTGCTGTTGTTGTAACGGCAGAAATTCTGCCGAGTTGACAGTCCTTGGCCGGATAAAAATCCGGGTCCGTTCCGGTTTTCATAGACCCGACTGTCGTGGGAACGGTCCGATTGTTGTGGGGACAACAACAACATTGGAATTTAAGTGTGCTATGCCCAATCCAAAAAGGAGACCCCACAATCTGCGCCAGCTACCGTGGGATAAGCCCCCTCAACATTGCACATAAGGTTTTATCAAGCGTATTGTGTGAAAGATTTAAGCCCACCATCAACAAACTGATTGGACCTTATCAGTGCGGCTTCAGACCTGGAAAATTAACAACCGGCCAGATATTCACCATGAGCCAAATCTTGGAAAAGACCCGTGAAAGGAGAATCGACACACACCACCTCTTCGTCGATTTCAAAGCAGCTTTCGACAGCACGAAAAGGAGCTGTATTCCCGAAAAACTAATACGGCTGTGTAAACTGAGGTTGAGCACCACCAAGAGAATCGGGAAGGGCTTCTCCAAGCCGTTCGATACCAAACGAGGTTTCAGGTCAAGGTGAGTCCCTATCGTGCGATTTTTTCAACCTGCTTCTGGAGAAAATAGTTCAGGCTGCAGAACTAAATAGAGAAGGTACCATCTTCTATAAGAGTGTACAGCTGCTGGCATATGCCGATGATATTGATATTATCAGACTCAACACCCTCGCCGTTAGTTGGCAATTGAGAAGCAAAGTGCTCTCTCGACAAACAAAAACCAAACTCTATAAGTTACTCATAACACCCGTCCTGCTATATGGTGCAGAGACTTGGACGATGACAACAACTGATGAGTCGACGTTACGAATTTTCGAGAGAAAAGTTCYGCGAAATATTTATGGTCCTTTGCGCGTTGGCCACGGCGAATATCGCATTCGATGGAACGATGAGCTGTACGAGATTAACATAGTTCAGCGAATTAAAAGACAGCGGCTACGCTCCAGTTCTGAAAGTATTCGACGCTGTACCCGCCGGGGGAAGCAGAGGAAGAGGAAGACCTCAATTCCGTTGGAAGGACCAGGTGGAGAAAGATCTGGCTACACTTGGAATATCCAATTGGCGCCACGTAGCGAAAAGAAGAAACGACTGGCGCGCTGTTGTTAACTCGGCTATAATCGCGTAAGCGGTGTTTACGCCAATTAAGAAGAAGTATTTATTAAAATCAGAAGACTTTTGGAATCAGGTTGTTTAACATTATTTCATCTCAAAATACATTTATTTTGATAGTTTTCCCTGTTTTCAGGTTTAATTCACTGATGAAAGCAAATTTCATTTCCGTGGATCAGATGGCAAAATGTTTGTGTGGCGTAAACCAAATGCCGAATTTGGTCATAAAAATACAAGTCACTGTGAAGCACGGAGGGGGCTCTGTCATGGTTTGGGGATGCATGTCAAGTGCTGGAGTACGCAATTTGCATTTGATTGATGGTAAAATGAGCAAATTTGGCTATCTCAATATTTTGAAATAAAATTTGCTTTTTATTAAGACAACAACCACAAGAACCCATCGGGTGTTGTAAAGCTTTGGTTGATACACAACTGCCCTAACCTAATACAAACACCACCGCAAAGCCCTGACCTTAATGTAGTCGAGCATTTGTGGGAGGAATTAGCTAGAAGTGTATCAGAAAAAGTTTAACACCTTAGGTGAGCTAAAGGAGACCTTATATACAGTTAAAAAAGTTACCTTTTCTTTATCATTTAAGCAGATGATAATATGAAGTATAAATAAAAGCAAAAAACTACACATTCTCTTTTTTATCTTTATGTTTGGATGCCATTTATATTAGAAAAACTCTTGTCCGATTATGCGATGGAGCCACTGTATATTGCCACCTAAAATACAGTAATATACATACCTAATATATAAGTATAATAATATAAGTTTAAAGTTAAAAAATTTACAACTTTTAAATTGATAATTTGTTTATTGTGAATAACTTTTTCACTTATATTATGCACTTTTCACTTACTAACACTTCACTATAAYGTTTTTGTATATCAATTTTTTTAATATTTATTGCAAATAAARCTTTATTTCAATTATTTTGTTTTAGTTAAATTCACTGTAAATGGTATTGCCATATCTGCCTAGTTGTCAACAAACGAAAATAAGCAAAAACTTTGTACCCCAAATACATAAATGGAAAACGCCAAAAACCTTTAGCAATTTTTTATAAAAAAAAAAAATTACAGAAAGGAGTTCTACGCGAAAGAACTTTGAACACCCCGATGTTGGATCGGCCAGGGTTATTTTTTTTATAAGCGCGGCCGAAGGCCGCCAGTGCAGAAGGGAGTTCTACGCGAAAGATCTTTGAACACCCCGGTGTTGGATCGGCCAGGGTTATTTTTTTTTATAAGCGCGGCCGAAGGCCGCCAGTGCAGAAGGGAGTTCTACGCGAAAGAACTCTGAACATTATAAAAAGTTGCAATACAGTGAAGGGTATAACTCCCTTTTTAACGCTTAATTTTCTTTAACGGGAATAATTCTAGGAACAATTGTACTGTCAGTTTTCCAACTAAGTACTGTGTCCTTTTTTGCTTCGCTTTTACTTTTAAATTTGGCGAAGCAATTAGCAAGTGTGGTTAGTGATTTTTAAATAGTTTCATTTATTCAAATTGATTTTTTATTAAAAAGAAAAAAATTATAAAATGTGTGCACAACGATCAGGTTTGTTATCAAATATTTCTAAATTTTTAAATTTTTAATTAAGTATTCTCTCTAGATTTCGATAAACCTCTCACCAGCCGCGGTGTACGTAAAAGAGATTTTACCGTTGCAGAACTACGAAAAATGTGGAACATAACCAAAGTTGTGGTGACCTTTAGCACTAGGGAGAAGTGCATTGTTTTGCGGAACAAGAAGGCTTAATTTTAAGCAATAAATTGTGCCGCACGCATAAAACACTCATAATCACCACTCTATCGGGGAATAATACGGTGGGGTCTTTTAGATGCCGTAGAGGTAGTTGCCGTTCGCTGGCTGCTGTATCGAGGGCCAAAGGCACTTGGTTTGAAAATGCGAAAATAACATTGCCTCAGATAGTTTATCTGATGTTCGCGTACGCTTCGCATTGGTGCCAGACCGAAGTCAAGAAAAACAGTTTTATAGCTATTTTGTTAACAGCCACGATATGCGATTGGTACAGCTATTGTCGAGAAGCCGTTGTGCTTTATCAAATAGACCATGAAGAGGCTGTGGGGAAAATTGGTGGTCCCGGAAAAATTTTACAAATTGATGAAAGCAAGTTTGGAAAACGAAAATACAATACATATTGTATAAAATTTTACGTACTAACTTATTTTCTCATATTTCAAGTAGAACACTGGAAGAGTTGACATTGGTAGTGTGTCCCGAGAATATTAGATCTATTGAGGTGCTCATACCTATTATCAAGAAGCACGTGGCGGAAGGATCAATTATATGTACCGACTTTTGGAGGGCATGTAATTGCCTTTCCGATAATGGGTATGACCACCGAAGGGTCAATCATAGTGATTCGGAAAATCCCTTTGTCGCCACAGACGGGACACACACTCAAAGAATTGAGTCACAGTGGCGGGTCATCAAAAGATTCTTGGTAATATGCAACCCTATTCTTGTGCAAATGCAGTGAATTTAAGTAAAACAAAATAATTGAAATAAAGCTTTATTTGCAATAAATATTAAAAAAAATTATATTCTAAAACGTTATAGTTAAGTGTTAGTAGATAATATAAGTGAAAAAGTTATTCACAGTAAACAAATTTTCAATTTAAAAGTTGTAAATTTTTTAACTTTAAACGCAAATATCTTTAAAACTACAAGTCAGCGGCAACTATATGTACATATTTTCGTGATCTGGAGAACGTCACCTTTCCAGTGACACCCATTTTATCCCCGAAATCCGGGGATGCTATTCTAAATTTTATCCGCGCCCACTTTTTTTTTAACCCAATCTCGGGACCGGACGAACCGATTTTGACAAAATTTGTTACGAGGCATTCTTTTTATATTCTTGTCACGCTGTGAAAATGAGCGGAATCGGACAATGCATAAATTCCATATAGCAAAATTTTAATTTCCACTTCAAGCGCGCTTAAAAAAAAATAAACCTAGTAGGTTGAACATCTGGCTGCGCTTCAAAAAAATTACCCTGGTTTTACCGGGGTTCTTTTTTTTTTTATTTTAACCCAAGGGACAGTATTCTGGCATTTTGCGGACTATTTCATAAAATTTTTAGATGGACCAGTAATTACCGTAATATGCTCGGATTCGTGCCACAAATGCCATAAAATCCACCACCACATTGCAGCACCAACAATTTCAGCACCAACTTCAGTTATTGCAGATTGCTTCAAAGGGACTTCTCTGTACGAAACTCTGAAATATATTTACGTAATATTACACAAAATGAATTTATTAAACCATTAACTTACACATGGCTCAATCGAAGCCCTGCTACAGCCTTTTCACGTTGACACAGTTGTATGCGTCGATACGCACCAAAAACGTTACCTAAGTTCCGAATCATAATAACAATTTATACTTTTGCTAATTAATAATGATATTTGCCCTTAGGTTACGGACACGATAACTGCGCACTATCGATATATTTGGTCATTAGTACTCGCATTAACTAACGGGGCATCTCGACAGGATAAAATTTATGTCATACTAACTTTATTACTTTGTCTATTGCCTGTGCAGACTCCATATTTCTTAGTGCTTACAATATATGGAAAACTAATTAGTACTTATTAAGCAATAAGCTGTCACTTTATCAGTTTAATAGCGCAGTTTTCATTTCTATGAAAACTTCGAAGAGGTAATATATTCCATTTATGCCACAATTATTATATAATATAGTAATCCAAAAATATGAATTCTTATTTTTCCCAGAAATACATTTGTAAAAAAGGATTTTCTCCTTTTGTATTTTCGCGTAAATCATTTTTTATATTAACTATAATAAAAAATATTTTTTATAATTGAGTTGTGAACACTTTTTCCATACACACATATATATGTATAATATATAATATACAGTTAGTCACTTAAGTAAGTATACACCATCTTCATTTTTGAAGATAATTCAAATTAAAGTGTTTCCTAATATACTAATSKCACGTTTTTACACAAAGCATGTGTGYATTGGCACTCGCTTTAATATCAATACGAATATAGCTGTAAAATGTTGATACCGTTAGACACACATCGCTTATTAGTTGAGGCGAGKGAAAATAATATCACAAATGTTAGTWTAYAGCGTACAATTGTTTGGTGAACACAACGCGATAGCATAATTTTAAATTTAAAAAGTTCAATCAATTTAAACAAAAAAGACACTGTTAGAAATATTGTTAAAGAATTCTACATTTTTTTTTAATTACTGAACAATTTGCGGCAATGGCTTGAAGAGGAAAAGAGCTCTCTGAATACTTAAAAAAAACTAATTATAAAATACCACAAAGAGAATAAATCTTTGCGTAAAATCGCTCGTATAGTCGATAAAAGTGTTGCTATAATTCAAAAGATTGTAAACAAGTTTAAAAGTACTGGCAAAACAAATAATAAGCCTAACTCCGGATGCCCACGGGTATTCAGTGACAGGGAAAGTAGCCTGATTGTTCGTAAAATAAAAGAAAATCCCAAAAAAAGTGCCCCAAAATTAAAAGCTGAAGTCGAAAAAGATATTGGGAAGCAGTGTAGTACCCAAACTATTCGCCGAGTCCTGTATAATGCTGGTTACCATGGACGTAATGTTAGGAAGAAGCCCTTCGTGAGCAGCGTCAATCGATGTAAACGGATATCATTTGCAAAAAATCATGAAAAGTGTGACCAAACGTTTTGGAACAACGTTATATTTTCAGATGAGTGCAAATTTTGTATAACTGGATAAGATGGTCGCGAAAAAGTATGGAGGAAAACTAACACAGAGCAGAATCCTATTAATATGGCCGGCACGGTTAAGCATGGTGGTGGCTCGGGGATGGTTTGGGGATGTATGGCAGCCAATGGGGTAGACAATCTGGTGTTTATCGAAACTATTATGGACTGATACGGTTACCTCAACATTTTTAAAAATAATTTGAAGCAAAGCGCTGTTAAATTGGGGATGGAGGAGTCATTCTTCTTTCAGCAGGATAATGATCCCAAACACACGTCCAAAGTTGTGCGAGAATGGCTCTTATACAATGTACGAAAACAGCTTAAAACACCACTCCAATCACCGGGTGCAAACCCCATTGAACATTTATGGGAACATCTAAAGCGCAAATACCTAAATATTCGATACGAAGCAAGGAACAATTAAAAAGGGCGGAAGAATGGAATAAAATACCACAAGCAGTCACCGCAAATTTGGTAAAATCAATGCCTTCACGTCTTAAATCTATTATTAAGTCCAATGGTTATCCAACCAAATACTAGAAGTTGCCTTTTCAAATAATATTTTTAATATTATTTCAATATTTGTGCCTTTGTATACTTACTTTTGTGATATGAATTTATACCAAATCTTTTTTAATTGGTCAAATTTTTTTATTTTGTGCCATTTTTTATGCGTTTTTGAATTGAGTATTATATTTATGTTTCTTTCAAGTGAATAAAAAACATTTTTCTTATATTTTGTGTTATTTAAGAAACCTAGTGCAAAAATAATGCAGATATATGTAGTGTATACTTACTTAAGTGACTAACTGTATATGAAAAATTCCGCTTCCTCGTCGCAATCAGTAAGCTCAGGAAGCACCTGTTCAACATGGGCATGGTCTCCTGTGCCAACTGCCGATTCTGCGACCTGGAACAGGAAACAYCAGCACACCTAARMCTGGATTGCTCAGCAATCTGTGGAAAAAGGCTTAAGGCCCTGGATTCTGCTTACATCAGCAGGGATCACATCACCTCACTAGCGCCTGGCAAACTCCTAGGACTGCTATGGCTGCTGGGGCTATGGGAGGTCATGTGATATAGGAGATTGCACAATAGACCTTAGGTCGCGGTGCATTACCTCAAATAACATTCTATTCTATTCTATGTATAATATGTGATTTATATTTAATAAAAACAAAGAAGTAAAAGTCTATCATAATATGTGACCTGGTCTACGAAAAGGGAGCTAACGTGCGAAAAATAGTTTTCTTGGAAACAGCTGTTAAAAATCTCATCTTCCATCCGAATCAACTAAAAAGTGAAAATTGAGTTTTTGGATTTTTTGACGCCTAAGTCCCCTTTCCGTAGACCAGGTCACAGGTTATAAAATTTATATCATATCGGAGCTACTGAAGTATTTTCTTCCCCAGTTTCCAACCAGCTCTGTATCTTGGAGGTTAGCTGGCACATCACAGTATGGGTCGATCTGCCTGCTCTGTAAGTATGCTGGTTCACGTGCAGGAGTGACGTTATCAGCGCCGTCCTTATTTCGTGGTCCTCGATCTTTTCCATACTCTTTGGTGGGAAGGAAATTACACTAATCGGATTAAAAGATTTAGCCACTTTCGGTTTAAAGATCACCTTCGCCGTCCTCCATGATTCAGGGATATACCACGGGGCCAGGCTGTCTCTCATCAGCTGAACAAGGTAGGCAGAAGTGTCCTGCGAATGGTAGGCACCTTGTCGTGGTGCAGGGGCTTAAACCGCAGCACAGCACAGCTTCTCCCAACCACCAGGGGTGATGCTGCAAGCAACTCTCCTGGGGGCTGGCAGACGCTGCATGCGCGCGGCGACCAAGAGCTACCACTTCCTAATCCAGGGTGTTATGCGACCCGTGCCCATTGGATGACTTGCAGTCAGGAGGTAAATTCGGCTGTATTCGTACGGAGCCTTCCCAACACCGGGCTGCCTTGGGAAGTAACGGTGGCCTTACTGCGTCAATTGGCCCTGGCGCAGCGGACTCTCAGATCCCCCTCACTAAGAATAGACCGCGAGGCCAACAATACGGGACAAACGGTCGTACGAACAAGATGAACCCACAACAACAACAGCAACAACAACGACAACAACCAGAGCGTCAACATCCACAACAAAGGCTAATAGCCGCAGCAGCAACAGTACCGTAAGAAAGAGTAGCCCAGGGGCTAAATGAAAGTGCAGCTTCCTGGATGCCATGTCGCCGGGAGAACGAGCACGCTTTGAGGAGCACGCACGCGACGACGACGACGTGCCCTCTTGCAGCGGCCCTCAGCGTAGTGTGTCAACCATGACCACTGTAAATCGCACGAACGCCGTCCCTACAACCCACAACCCCCTCGAGCAGGATCGACTGCGGAGAGGGGGGTGGTTTCACAAAAGTGGAATCAAGGGGCGAGCGCAAAAGAAGACGGCAACGAGGGAACATTCCATGTACCCCGGAGCCGGGATGACCAGGAGGCCACGATGACCCACGAAGAGCGGGGATGAGTGAAGCCACTCTCAAGTGGTACCTCAGAATCCTCCAAGACGGCATGACACCGGAGACAGCTGAAAAGCGGGCTCTGAGTAGGAGTAGTGGGAGTAGCCCCACTCCTAATATTGCACAACGCGCAGGTGCCAGTGGTTCGAATGCAACAAGACGCAGAAATCAGAGGTGTCGCCGAGCCCGAGCAGCCTTGTCGGAGGGACGAAACGGAGCAAGATCGGCACCCCAAGAGGCACCTAGTCGCATGGAGAAGAGAAAGAGCGGCCAAATCACTCCTCAGGAGCCATCAAGGCCCAAAAGAATAAGAGAGGACGGACCACGGGAAGCCAGTGGGAAGCGCTTCAACCCCAACCAGCAGCCGACGAGAACCGCAAGCTGGAAGTACTCTGAGGCCGTAAAGAGCATCCGAATGGCAGTATTGCCCCGCAACTTCCCAGCGGAGGCCCTAGGGTCCGAACAGCTGAAGGCTTCTTCAAGGGTGGTACGCTGCTGGTCGACTATCAAGACGAAAGGTCGGCCACCTGACTGAAGGAAATCACGCCAAGGCTAGAGTTTTGGAAGGGTCCGGCCCTGTGTGTACCATGAGGCGAAGAAATACCACAACTACACAACGTGGTGGCATTCTTCCCAAGGAGTGCTGACAAAAACTACGACTTCGAGCTTAGTCCAGTAAGAAATCACAACGACGGCCTAAGCACCTCAGCGTGGAAGGTCGTAGCAAGTAATCTTGAGGATTTAGGGTGGAACCTCAACATAACGATAGACGACGAATCCTACAAATACATAAAACGAAAAGGATTCAGGGTAAATTTCCGATTCGGCAAGATTATAATGAGGCCATGGAGGCCCAAGGCAACAGCCACGGCGAACTAAGAATCTATGATGGGGTCAACCGCAGCATCGGCTCTACCCATAACCCGCCAAGCAGCGCATGAGGCGACTGCCGCTGTGGTTTCGGGAGAGCGAAACGAGTGCCCCAATGACTCCACCTCGGCTGGGCAGGTCGAGGCCACCGCCGCGTAGGAAAACAGAAGCAACGAGGTTCCAAATGAGCAGAAAAGCATGCTGCTATCCACCCAAGAGCTTCTAAAAGGGCTGGAGATGCAGGTTGATGAGGAAAATGAGGACGAGGACCTGTCTCTCATGGAACCTTTATTATAATCTCCGAAGCCGGCATAGAAGTGGCTCAGGTGAACCTACATCACGCATCGGCAGCC